CATCGTCATCATCATCATCAGAGGCCAAGGCCCGATATCGACTTCAAGCTCTTTTGCCTTTGTTATCTCTTTAGTAAAATCGAAGCCTCGAGCATGGACCTCTTCGAGGGTTTCCCTCCGAGATTGGCATTTGGCTAATTCGGCAATCCAATATGCTCGAGTTCGAGCGGTCTCGGCTACTTCTCTCGCATGCAACTGAGCGGCCTCAGCATCGACCCGATAAACAGCCACAATTGCGTCTGCATCGGCCTTTGTCTTTTCAGCCTTAGCAAGTTCAAAAGCCAACCGAGCCTCGAGCTCCTATGTTTTCCTTGCTTGAACCAAGCTTTTCTCCTTCAGACTCTGAAGTTGACTTTCGACCGATGATAATTGGGCCCGAGAAGCCTCTTTCTCTGCAGCAAAGCGGTCCATACTTCCTTTCCATTTCAAGGACTTCGCCTTTATCATATCGACCTCCTTACAGAGCTTCCTGATCATCTCAAGCTTCTGCTGCAGCTGTGAGACCGAAAAATTAGCCATCGTTCCAGCATCGAGTCCATAGGCTTTTAATAATGTCATTACCTTCTCGGACAGATCGATCTGATCTTGGTGAGCTTTGGCCAACTCAGCTTGGATGTCCTTGATTTCTTTTCCCCTTTTCCCTAAGAGGAGTTTAAGGGTCTTCCTCTCTTCCGCGACCCGTTGGAGATCAGCCTCGTATCGACGCAACTCAGCTCGGGATCGAGAACATGCTTCTCGATGAGCTGCCACGGCCTACGAAGAAAGAAGAAACAAAGTAAGAAAAAAAAAACAGATATAAGAGATAATACCAACAAAATAATTTAAGGCTTACCTGATTCAAAGCCTGATGCACTCCGTGAAAAAGATCCGATGCATCACTAATACCGGCAGTAACCTCGACACCGGTAAACAAGTCATAAAAGGGATCCTCCCCCTCATAAGGCATGTCTAGTTCGAGGGCCCCCAAAGCTTGGGCTTCCCGAATCGTCCCTTCGGAAAAAGCAGGGAAGGTGGGCGAGTCTTCGATTGCTACTGCCCCAAGTGAGTCGCTTGGGGCGTTCTCGTCGGTTCGAAGGGATTCGGGGAGAGCCTCTTCTCATATATCCCCCATCCGTTGGCTCCGATGGGAAGCATCCCCGATCTCCAACGACTCAGGGACTTTGCCCGAATCTTTCTCCGATATATCCTCAGTTCGAGGCGGAGCCTTATAAACCACCATCGATCCAGCTGCTTGTGGAACATCAGTGGTCTTCTTCGATCGGGCCACCAGTACGGACCCGTCGTCTTATTGTTCCTCATTTTCATCCCTTATACGCTGAACCGATTCTAAGGTGAAAGGGATGGTATTCTTCCTCGACTTACGAGTCAACCTTGCCTTCGATTTTGGATTTTCGGAAGCAGAGGCCCTTTTTCTCTTATTTCCCTCGGCTGGTTTAGAAACCGGGTCCGAGGCTTCTTCTTCGCCGAGCAGGGGCCTCAGAACCGTATCTCTGCCTAGGCCTACACACAAGAAAATCAATTGAATATGTGGAAAATATTTCGTTCAAACTATCGAAACATGAGAAATAGGCTTACCATGATTTTTGGCCTCCCATTGGCCTTTTTCCAAATCACGCCACTAACGTTTGGCGTATGGAGGTCGAAGCCAGGGTCCGTACCCAGCTCTTAAGATTGGGAATGGCACCGGGCATCCAAGGAACCGCTGCATCACAAAATAGATATCAGCAAGAGAGAAACAAAGAGACAAGGCGATATGGAATAAGCAGTATAATTACACTTACGCTTCATATTCCATTCTTCGAGGAATGACATCTTCTCGGCTGGAATCAGGTCCGAAGTTTTCACTCGAACGAACTTGCCCATCCAACCTCGATTCTTGTCCTCATCTATGCTCGAGAACAATAACTTGGTAGCCCGGCGTTGAAGTTTTACTAATCCACCTCGAAAGAGACGGGGACTATACAATCTGATAAGATGATCGAGGGTGAAAGGCATCCCCTCGATCTTGTTTGCAAAGAAACGGATCAGGATAACAATCCGCCAAAAGGATGGATGAATCTGACCTAGAGTTATTCGGTATTGACAACAAAAATCGATGACAACAAGGTCGAGAGGTTCTAACGTAAAAGGGTAAGTATACACACTAAGGAACCCTTCCACTTGGGTGGTAATATCTTCGTCGGGAGACGAAATTACCACTTCCTTGTTATCCCAGTTGCAATCCGTTGAAAGTTCAAGTTGCTTTTTGGTTATCGAGCACAAATACCTCGATACCGGTTCACACCGACCAGGAACCAACGGGCCCTTATCGACCTTAAAATCCAAGGTAAGAAGACACGTTCCGGGAACAAATTCCTCAGGCCGTGGCTCTACCAGTGTTTTATCGGCGACATGCTGTGAAGAAGAAGCCTCTTCTTTTTGAGGGGAGGTTTTTGATATTTTTACCATTTTTGAATTCAGAAGAAAGAAATAAAGATATGGTGTTTCAAAGAAAGATTTTGCAGTAAAACCAGGAAAAAATCACACTTAATTCAGAAGGTGCGAGAAAATACTTAGGAAATTTTGAGATTAGAAGAAGTAAAAGTGATTAATGGTGGAAGAAGAGGATATTTATAGGCTGAGCAGTGGCGGTCCAATATCGGTAATGTCCGACCACCATCTGACACGCATTAAATGCCTCGGTAAACTAAACCGATGGGACAACTATCGTGTACTTCACGATCGGATTCAATGCACACGTTAGTATATATCTAATCGTACCGTTGGAAAATTATATCGTTTCTCGATACATTCTTCCCGAGAAATGCGAGGATTATCTGTATACGGTCAAAATCGATTAGTCTGTCGTACAGATTGGTCGGTATGATAATACTTCGATCGAAGGGCAGCTTCGTAATACCAGATCAAGGTTCGAAGTCAGGTCATCAAGCTTCGAGTTCCAGGACTGATCAAGACAAGCTTGGTATTATTATCGAACTCAAATCGAACTACGAGGCAAAGCGAAATTAGCGAGCCTAAGATGTATAGACCGACCGACACCGACTCCGAACCAGTACCAGACTCCGAGTCAGAATCAAGCTCGAGTCAAGATAGAGGGCTCGAGTCAATATCGAGCTCGCAGACAAGAGCTGTTGCAACCGCACTAGGGGAGATAATCCTGACAGGAATTAAGGGAAAGTTAATCCCTCATGGCTTCCCCACTATGTATTTTTTATTATATCTAAAGTAGGATTCCTCCGCTATAAAGGAAATGATTGTTGTTTGTGTAAGAGAATATTCACACATTGTAACAAAAAACTATTTCTTGTATTGAAAGATCAATCCTTTGATCCCTCTTTCTTCATTTTATTTGGTTCATACATTTTCCTCTTTTCAACTATTACATCTTTCCTTCTTATAGTCAAGGATTGGATATTCCTATTTTTTCTTTACGATTTGTGAGTCATACTACATACTCCTAGAACTACGTATAAATTCAACTCTATCCGGTTTTGAGGGTAAACAAACAATTACAAAAAAATTTTGGGTTTAGTATCGCATTAAATAGAAATAATTTACGGAATGAGAGTGATGCTATTACGAAGAATAACTAAAAATTAATGAAACAACATCTTTTCTTAAGTAAGTTGAATTTAACTAATCAATCAGCTGTGCTCCGATTAGTACCTCTTTGATGTCGATTATATTAATTTTCTATACTTGTTGCTCCCTACTAAGTCTCAGTTCATTTCGATAATCAATTGTCTTTTGTATAGATAGATTTGAGATTTTCTGAAATTAGAGGTATATATTAACCAAACTTCAGTGTCGTAATAAAGAATGTTAGGCTAATTAGTAACCAGTCTTGATAATGGCCTTGAGTCCAGTTCGTGTAATAACTAACAAGAATCAAGAGTGTCTTGTGCTAATTATAATTATTGATTCTTTAACAAGTCATTACCAGAATTGTCAACTTATTTTCAATGTTTGAAACGCGAGTACACTACGAATTGAGAATTTGTTGCTTTAAGAGTCATAAACAATTGAATTCAACATCATAAGAAATTAGTAATTAGTAAATCTAACTACAAAGGCAAACTTCACGCCAACAGTTAATTACTTTGAAATTAAAATGTCATGTATAGGTCAAAATTCTCTTTGAGTATGTCCTTCAACTGTTCAATGTACAACATTGGTTATTCATGTAAGTATTATTTTTTAGCTAATTAACCTATAGAAAGTAAACTATTTTAGCATAAAATGATATTATCGCGTTCGGGATTTCTTTTATTTTGTAAAGATTTTGGTATATCATTGCTAAAAGTACCAGTAATATGATTAATAGAACTACATATGCTCATTTTACGAAAATTGTGACAGGGCAAAAAATGAACATGTAAAATTTGGATGGTCTAACTAGCATGTTTTAAAGGACGTCACTCTTTCCGTTGCAACTCCTGCTATTCCCTCAAGTTGTGACTATAATAGAAAAAATGTTACACATATTTTACATTTACATTAAATCAATAAGCACACGATACGCGTCTTTTATATGTAGTTTTTATTTTTACTATATCTAATTAATATATATTCCCTTCGCTTTAAATTACTTATCCTATTTCGCTTTTCGAGAGTCAATTTGAATAATCTTCGAAAATAAATTGTAACTCAATATTTTAAATTTAGATATTTAAAACTATATAAAAAATACTACAAGTTACAATTTTTCTCATACCGATATGATGAAAAATATATTTCAAAACATTGATTAAAGTTCATATAATTTGACATTTGAGAAGCGAAATGTGAAAACTAATTTGAGACGGATGAAATATTATTACATCTCTATTGATAATTTAATCAATGATAATTAATAAGTATAATCTAATGTAAATACAAGTACAAGGGTAAATAATTACTACTTATTTTTTTGTGGAGAAGGAGAAACAAAAGACGGAAGTGAAAAGATAATGTACTATCTACAAAATCTAAACAGCTCTTACAAATGTATACAGTAACGCTGAACCATTGTCTTTCATTTGTCAATTGAAGATATCAAAGTACAAACAAATTCGTGGTCAGAATTCAGTCTCTCATTTCTACAAAACACTTCTCACCACCTTTCTTCCCAAATCCAACTCTCTTGAGAAACAAATCATGGCTTGTTCTTCTTCTTCTTCTTTTCAACTCTCAAGTCTCCAAATTCAAACCCCACCTCTCAAAAAATCCAACTTTCTAGGCCAATCTCACAACCTTAATATTCATACCAAATCAACTCTGAAACCATCTTCAACCTCAATTACTACTGCAAAATTCAATCTTTATGAGATTCTTGGAGGTAGAGGTCTATGTAATGGAGAAGAAGGTATACAAAAAGAGCTAAAGAAGTCAATTTCAGAAGAACAATCCTCGGCAAAATCAGCCACTGATGATAATAATAATAATAATAATCAAGAAAAGAAGGAAACTGGGGAGTTTCCTGAAGATGGATTTGAGAAAGAAATGATGGGGTTAGTAGGTGGATTTCCTGGAGGTGAAAAGGGTTTAAAGAAATTCATAGAACAAAATCCACCTCCTAAGAAAACAGAATCAAGAATGGAGGGTTTTAATCTCAGTCTTGTGAAGAAACCAAAGCCACCCGAATTACCACTTTTGTTACCTGGGATGATTGCTATAGTTAAGAATTCTAATAATCCATATTATATGTATTGTGGGATTGTGCAAAGGATTACTGATGGAAAAGCTGCTGTGCTTTTTGAAGGTGGGAATTGGGATAGATTGATTTCTTTTAGGCTTGAAGAGTTGGAAAGAAGAGAGAAAGGACCACCAATGGTAAATCCTAGGTCTGCGATACTTGAAACCATGTTAGAAAAGAGTTCTGAAGCTTGATTTGCTTCCTTTTTTAATTTCCAGTTTGAGTTAGCTCCTTTGTTTGGAGGAGAGTTTCCACGTAACTTGTAAAGTTGTTGTCGTGTAAAGTTACTGTCACGTAACCATGGAGTCACGGGTTCGAACCGTATTAACAACTTCTTGTAGAAATGCAGGGTAAGACTGCATATAATAGGGATTTATGGTCCGGCCCTTTTTCGGACCTCGCGCATAGCGAAAGCTTAGTGCACCGGACTGCCTTTTAGTTGGATCCTTTGTTTCTTTTGTCTTTTTGGTTGTTGTACAAACAAGATGTAATAAGAAATGCGGAATACTTTATGCACGAAGATTGTAATTCTATTGCTTTTGATAATAATATTTGTTCCATTGTTGAAACTTTTTCCTTTCGTTATGGCTAATTCAATAGCATACACTACCTAAATAACACATGACTCAATCTACTCCTTTTGACTAGTTTGGGGTTTGAATATCGGGCAACCCCTATCATATTGAAATTTTAATTCTCTATATGAAATTTCCAACCAACTTCATGAAATTTTTGAGTAGATTTACCTACATCTTGACTGACACAAGTATATAAGTGAATAACAAGCTCCCGCCTTCCCCTGCAGCGCCTGTAGGGGCTAGGGGGTGAACTACTTTTCACAATCATGAAGGGAATGTCCCTGATGCCATATGGTGGATATTTCAGGTTTCATAACAATTTCAATAATGCTAGCTAGCATGAGACAGAGTAAACAAGACTGCAGATTGAGCCTTCAAGGCTTTGGCTTGCCTAACTGTGAGACCGACCGGTTGAATAGAGACAAAAGTGGGCCATAGTAATTCGGGAGTCCGTGTGGAAGGGCTCTCGCTCAACGGATCAAAGGTACCCGAGGGATAACATGCTGATGACTCCCAAGAGCTACTATCGACGAGTCGTTTGGCACTTCGATTTCGACTCATTAAATTTTGGGGCTGACGAAGGTCCCAAGGGTTCGTTTGTTCGCCGATCCAAGTGGTACGTGAATTGGGTTTAGAACGTGGTGAGAGAGCAAAAACATGATATGTGGTTTAAGCACACATCACATATTTGAACTATGTTGAAGAAAAGAACTTGGTATGTAAGTGGAGAAGTGTAGAACGATGTGCCAATATCTATCGAGTTGCAAATAAACTACTCCCTCGATCCCAAATTATTTAATGTAATTCTAACTTCAAGAGTCAACCTTTTTTAGTTCAATCGCGAATTTAGACAAAGAATTATAAGTTTCTTAAAATAAAATTTATATATTTGTAAACTATGTACTAATACTATACATCACCATAGTTAACAATAACTTAAAATATTTAAAAGCTACAAGAATAAGTTACAATCAAAGATAAAGTAGTTTGACTCTCAAAACTCAAATTGCATTAAATTAATTGGGACAAAGAGGTTTCACTGAAAACTACAAAAAGAATATGTTAGGATGATTAAAATCTATTCGAAACTCTTTAGAACCATTTATAAATACCTAGTAGTACTATATCGAAAAAGAAAAAAGAAATATATTGGGGATTATCAATTTTCTCACACTATGTAATAAAATTAAAGAATAGAACTTGTTATATTCGAACTCGTTATAAGCTTGAAGAAAATACAACAACCTTATTGATTTATAAAATTTTAAAAATATTATTTATGATTTATAGGCGATTATCTTATCAAAGGGTTCCTATAGTCCCTAAGCATATCCCCAGAAAATGATAAGCCTTTTCTATTTTTGTTACTACCACGAGAAATGCACATACATGAAAATTAGCTAATACTCCCTCCGTATCAATTTATATTATGTAGTTTGACATCGATGGAGTTCAAGAAAAAGGAACAACTTTTAAAACTTGTGGCATCAATCATGCATGAAATTTTTGTGTCTATAAAATTATGTTATTAAGGATAAAATAGATTTTTTTTCTAAATGAAGTGGACCCTCGGCTTGAAAATATTAAATAGACTAATTTAACGGGCTTTTACCTATATATGTAAAATTATAATCCTAATTACCACTATTAAGTATTAACAAGGTTTTATTTAATTAACATAAACGTATTTACCAATTGTATACAAAGTTAGAGATTATGTTTCAACCTTCCCTATTTTCTCTCCCTAATCTCATTTTCCATTTGATTCAACTTCTAAGGTTAATTTATGCAGCTTTAAAGTAATAAAATGTATCTAATGTTAGCTCTAATTCAAAATTAAAGCGTAAACATGGATATTTGGTATTTGAAACTCGCGTGGAACGTCAAACTCGTTTTTTTTTTTTTTTTGTGGTTGCAACCGTGTTGTTAATAGTGAACTACCAACTTAGGCTATTTTAAGAAAACTAGATCTTGTTTGGGTGTGAAAACGTGAAGATAAGAGGTTAAACACTATTAAAAAAGTTCAAAGTTTTGAATTTGAAAATCATGCTTTACGAAATTGTTATATATTTCAACCAGTCACGACCAGAATTCCCACCTTCAGAACCGTGATGGTGCCTAACATTCCACTCGCTAGGCAAGCCAACGCTAGAGTAAATAGTTTGCCTTTTTAAACAAATCGAGTAATTAAAACCAATTAAGCTGAAATAAATAAAGTGTAATGGTTGAAATATCTGAGTACAACCCCGAACCTGGTGTCACAAGTGCACGAGCTACTAGAAGTTCTACAAATAGAGTCTGAAATAAATACAACTGCTTCGAATGAAATGAACAGTAAATGAGGTAAGAGGAAGGGGACTTCAATGTCTGCGGACGTCAGCAAATCTACCTCAAGTCTCCAAATACGATTGGTGCACCTCACGTACAACTGGGACCAATACCAAAATACGCACAAGAAGTGCATAGTGTATTATGAGTACAATCGACCCCATATACTTTGTTAGTGTCGAGCCTAACCTCGACGAAGTAGTGACGATGCTAAGGCAGTCACTTACAATAACCTGCACACAATATAAAATAAATACTGGAAAGAAAAATACGGAAACGAATTAAAATAGTTAACACATGAAACTAACTCAATCTCCAAAGGAAAACAAGTAAATGCCAGAATACAAATCCTTAGAATCTCGTATGAAAATACCGAAACCAACCCAATACAATAAGGAATTGAAATACATAGATTGTTGCGGCACGCAACCCGATCCCACCATATAATCAGAATCAATATCATAATTCACCATTATTTCACCATATCAATCCACGCTTATTTCACATGTTGCGATGCGCAACCCGATCCCACCATATCAATATAAATTCACCCTTATTTCGCCATATCAATCCACTTTTATTTCACTTGTTGCGGCGCGCAACCCGCTCTCACTCTACAATATGAATAAATCAATAAGTGTAATCAATTTAACAGCTCGAATCACAAGAATTCTTTACGATTAATAGGTATGAAGCAGAACCAGAAAAGAAATCTCGTATCAAATTAAGAATTCTCTATGGTTAATGCTAAACAGTAAGACAAGTCAAATAAATGACAACTAAAGGGTACAAGTAAGTCATTGAAGGCAAGTAGCAGTAAATCATGGAAGTATGGGAGAATCTAACATTTTTAACATGAGAATAGTAAATAACAAGTAGCAAATAAAGGCTTGGGAAGTATTTAAAGCATGTAACAGTTAAGGTATGTAATAAAATAATTAGTGAATGCGGAAAAATAGGGAAACAAGTATTTTGGCGGCGTATATATACTCGTCAGCTCGCATATACGCTGCAACACATGAATTTCACATAGCACATAACTAAAGGGTTCCTAATTCCCTCAAATCAAGGATAAACCCAGCACTTACCTCACTTCACAATCAACTTAGAGCTTTACCGTGGCCTTTCCTCTAAAATCCGCCTCCAAACCAATCGTATCTAACCAAAATAGACTCGATAACTAAAGAAGATAATACGGATAAGGCATCATCACAACCAACTCAGATTTGATTGAATCTATTTCTGTTGTAATGTAATCCCTAATAACATGGGATCTCATCTCATCCTACAACATAGCCTTTGTACTATAAATACTAACCTACAACAACGAGAAGATGTGCGTGGAAATTCTCACAACAACTTGAGTTGTTTTAATAACATCAAACAAACTAGGGTAATCAATTACAATATATAAAGTTAAGATTTTTACACTTTTTCCAAAAAGTCAAAAAAGTCAACCCCAGGCTCGCTTGGTCAAACCCCGAGATTTGAACCAAAACCCATTTACCCATTCACCTCCGAGCCCGATTATGTAATTAATTTCGAAATTCGACCCCAAATTGAGGTCTAAATCCCTAATTTTCTAATTATGAAAGGACAAATATTAAGGCTAAAAATTAATGGGTAATGTTAGAAATGGAAGAAAATGAGTTAAAGTATGCTAACCTATGAAAAGATGATGAATTTTCTCTTCCAAATCGCCTCTAGGCCGAGCTCTAATGGAAAGATGGTGAAAAATGGGTGAAATCCCCTTTTTGAAATGTCTAGGCGTCAGGTGTAGATCGCGTTCGCAATACACCTGACGCGTTCGCGAAGGGCACTGCACATTTGGCTTACGCGATCGCGACATACTCTACGCGTTCGCGTAGGTTTAGCCCACCATCTATTGCATTGGCGATTAAGGAAAACACCCCCAGCCCAGTTTACTCTTCGCGATCGTAAGAGTACCTTCGCGATTGCGAAGAAGAAAACACCAAATGACAACATAAGTTCAAAATGACTAATAAATTTCTAAGTTCGAAACACCCGAAACCTATCCGAAACTCACCTGAGTCATCGGGGATCCGAATCAAACATGCACACAAGTCCAAAAAAATTATATGAACTCGCTCGCGCGATCAAAACACCAGAATAATGCCTAGAACTATGAATCAGACACCAAAATAAATAAAATTTTCAATAAAACTTATGAACTTTCGTTTTAACAATCGGACGTCCGAATCACGCCAAATCAACTCTGTTTTGCACTAAATTTTGCAGATAAGTCATAAATACAGTAATGAACTTATACCAAGTTCTAGAACCAAAATCTGGACCTCGTAGCAGCAAAGTCAAACTTGAAATTTCTTTAAAACTTTAAACTTTTAATTTTTAACAAATTGCTATAAATCAAACTAGGGACCTCCAAATTCGATTCCGGGTATACGCTCAAGTCCCACATCACGATATGGACCCACCGGGATCATTAATACACGGATCCGGATCTATTTTCTCAAAACATTGACCGAAGTCAACTCAAATGAGTTTTAAAGTACGATTTCACATTTTAATCAATGTTTCACATAAAAACCTTTCGGAAGAAGACACACAAATCAAGAAAGGCTAAACAAAGCTATTTGAGGTTTAGAAATACATAATTAAGGG